ATCATAGCTTATCTGTGTGTGTATATATATATATATGAGAGAGAGAGAGAGAGAGAGAGAGAGAGAGAGAATTTTGAAAGCAGCAAGAGAGAAGTGACTCATTACATATGAGTGATCCTCAATGTAATTGTCAGAATATTTCTCATCAGAAACTTAGGAGGCCATAAGGCAGTGAGCTGAAATAAAAATGCTTAAAAAAGTAAAGCAAAAATCGTACATCAGGAAAAAATCTCCTTCAAAAGTCAGGAAGAGGGGCAGGAGATTGGCCTAGCTGTTAAGACACCAGTTAAGATCCCCACAACCAGTGGGTTAAGCCTCTGCCTGTGATGCTGACATTCCATATAAGATCAGGTTGGAGTCTGGGCTGTTCCACTTCTGGTCCAACTCCCTAATAATGCACCTGGGGAAGCAGTGGAAGATGGCCCAAGTGCTCGGGCCTGCTACTACCCAACTGGGAGACCCAGATAGAGTTCCAGGATCCTGGCCCAGCCCCAGCCATTGTGGCAATTTTGGGAATAAATCAACAAATGGAAGATCCTTCCTCTCCCCCGTCACTCTGCCTTTCCAATAAATAAAATAAATATTTTTAAAAAGAATGCCCACATTCCATTTGGTTCGAGTCTTAGCTCTGTGCCCCCTTTCACCTTCCTACTAATAATGCATGTCCTAGAACGCAGGGTGATGGCAGTAGTTAGGTCCCTATCACCCACACAGGGTAACTAGATTTAATTTCTGACTCCTGGATTCAGCCTGATTGAGCCTCAGCTGTTGTGGGCATTTGAGGAGTGAATCAGCAGATAGGAAATCAATTTCTTTCCCTCAATCTCTCATCCTTTCAAATAAATAAAATAAGATTTAAAATAAAAAAACGCTATTACTGTAACAGTTTGGATTGTTGGAATTTTGCTTTGTTACTCCTAATTTTGTTTTACACATAATTTAAGATTAATGCATTAAAAAGAATTATTAGCTTGTGGTTTCAGGCACACAATGTATAAGGATGATAGTTTGTGATATCAGCAATCAAAAGGGGGTGAGGATGGTGCTGTGATGTTGAAGCTTTTTGTAAATTATTAAGGTTAAACTGGTATAAATTCAAGTTACAGTGCTACAACTTTACAATGAAAAATAAGTCTCCATGGTCAGTAAAAAGAAAATAGCTATTGAATATACACAAATGGAAATGAGAAAGGAATTTACACATTTCACTGCAAAAAAAAAAAAAACTCAATAAGGCAGTAATGCAGAAAATGAGCACCAAAAAGCCTATAAGGAATATAGAAAACAAATAGCAGAATAAGTCTTTTTGTAGACTTTAAATTTAATGGATTAAACACATAAATAAAAAGACAGAAGTTAGCACAATAAATAGAAATGCATAGTGAAAATTTACACTGTCTACAAGACATTCACCTTAGATCCAAAAACAAATTGGTTAAAAGTGAAATGATGAATAAAGATATTGCCTGCAAATAGTAGCAAAAGAAAGCAGGAGTGACTATACTATATTAACAGATGAGGTAGACTTCAAATAAAATTGTTTCAAGAGATAAAGAAGAACATTACATATTAATAATTGGTTCAATATAATAAAGATGTAACCATTATAAGCATTATGTATTTAATAACAGAGTATCAAAATATATAAAGCAGATAATGACAGAACTGAAGGGAGAAACAGTTCTACAATAACAATTGGGATCAATATCCCATGATCAAACAAGGCTATAACAACCAAGCAGAAATTAAATAAGGAAACAGGGGGTGTAACTCAAAAGCCCAGCTAGATATAGCAGACCTGCATAGATGACTGTACCCAATAACAACACACACATTCTTCTCGAGTACACGGAGGACAGTTTACAGAGAGGACTATGCATTAGGCCACAAACTAAAACTCAATAATTTTTAAAGGATAAAGAATAATATATTCTGCAACCACAATGGGGTGAAAATAGAAATCAGTAACACAAGTAACCTTTGAAAATCTACATATGTATGCAGATGTTAAACCACACATGCTTAAATAATCAATGGATGGACAAAGAACCAACAAGGGAAATTCAAAAATACTTATAAGTGAAAGGAAAGACCATTCAGTGGGGGAAAGGACAATCTTTTCTACAAATGGTATTGGGTAAACTGAATATCCATATACAAATAAATGAAGGTGCAGTCTTATCTAACACCAAATACACACATTAACTCAAAATGAATTGAAGACCTAACAATGTAAGACATAGAATTATAACGCTCTGAAGAAAACAGGACAAACGTTTCATGATATTGCACATGGCAATTATATTTTGGACATGACATCAAAGGCATAGGACAACAAAAGAAAAAAAAGACAAATTGGACTTTAATAAAAATTGTTTAAATTTGTGCACCAAAAGATACCATCCAGACCCAAAAAGCTCAGGCAGAAAAAGCAAAAACTGAAAAACAACATTCTATCAAACTAAGAAGCTTCTGCACAGTAAAGGATATAATCTACAACATAAAGAGATACACTTCTTTTTTTAAAAAGATTTATTTTATTTATTTGAAAGACAGAGTTACAAAGAGAGATAGAGACAGAGAGAGAGGTCTTTCGTCTGCTGGTTCACTCCCCAAAAGGAAACAATGACCTGAGCTGGGCTGATCCGAAACCAGGATCCAGGAGCTTCTTCCAGGTCTCCCACATGGGTGCAGGGGCCCAAGCACTTGGGCCATCCTCCACTGCTTCTCTAGGCACATCAGCAGGGAGCTGGATTAGAGAACTAAATTAATTCCTACTGGGAGCAGCACTCTCAATGACCTTTCATCAGGCTCCCCCTCTTAAATTTCCCATAACTTGTTAACCTCACCAAAGCGGGAAGCAAGCTTACTACACATGAACACTCTGGGGACAAACCACACCCAAGGATAGGACCCTAGGGTACAGAAGTTCTAATTCCTGGTATATTCTCAAGAGAATTGAAAGCAGGATCGCAAAGAGATATTGGTACACCCAGTTCCTAGTATTATTCAAAACAGGTGAAAAAAATAGAAGCAACTCAAATGTTCATGGATAGATGAATGAACAAGCAAAAATGGTGTGTGCACAATAGACTATTATTGTGCCTTAAAAATGAAAGAAATTATTTTATGGATGAGCCCAGAGGACATCACACTAAATGAAATAAACCAATCACAAAAGAACAAATCATATGACTCCATTTATATGAGATGCTAAAAGTAATCAAAATCATAGAGACAGAAACTAGGATGGCAGTTGTCAGTGCCAGGAGCTGGGGGTAATTGCTTAATAGGCATGGAGTATCAGTTTTATAAGATGTAAATGGTTCTGGATATGGATGGTTGTGATGATTGTGCAAAATTATTAAACATTTAATGCCACTGAACTGTACACTTAAAATGATTAAAGTGGTAAATTTTATACTATCTGTATTTTAATACTATTTAAATATTGAAAGGTAACGATTAGGAATCTTTGGAGAAATGGCTAATGGAATAGCATTTTAAAAGTTTGAAACAAATCAAATAACTGCACATTAAACATGACAGAGGGGGCATATATACTCACAAAACATATCCATAAGAAAGACATATAAACTACTATGCATCTCATACAGCAGTGAAATGGCCAAGCAGCACCATTAGAAATACAAGAATTAGTAGATAAAACCACCATCATAATAAAACATTTCAAAATACTTCTATTAATAACAATAGTAACATAATCATGATAAGAACAGCAGAAACAATGTATTGGGTCCTAATCAGGTTCCAAGTATGTAAGAACTTCATTTTTAAAGACAGTTTTTGGACAGCAGGGCAGATTTGGCCATAGTCAGCAACCCTTGCTCAGCAGCATTATCTTATTTCCTTCTCTTCATTGCGTTTATCCCTAAATGAACTGAGCTGGCTGATTTAGAATGACATCTTCTATAGGGGGCCTGAGCTGTCATAGCTTCCACTTTTGCCTTTATAACCCAGGAATTCCTGCTTCCTGGGGAAAGAAACCAAGGAACCATTATCAGAAGGCAGTTACATGAGGACCCAGAATTTTGTCCTTTTGCTTTCAGGCTATATTTTCTTCTTTTAAAAAAAGATGTATTTTATTTATTTGAAAGAGTTACAGAGAGAGGTAGAACCAGGGAGAGAGAGAGGTCTTCCATTCAATGGCTCGCTCCCCAGTTGGATGCAATGGCCAGAGCTGAGCTGATACGAAGCCAGGAGCCAGGACCTTCTTCTGGGTCTCCCAAGTGGGTGCAGGGGCCCAAGAACTTGAGACATCTTCTTCTGCTTTCCCAGGCCGTAGCAGAGAGCTGGATTGGAAGTGGAGCAACCGGGACTCGAACTGGCACCCATATGGGATGCTGCACTGCAGGTAGCGGTTTTACCCGACACGCCACAACACCGGCCCTGAGGCTATATTTTCGATGCCTAGAACGGTGTTCAGTACATAAACGTCAATCAATAAGTAATTGTGAGGTGAACTCACGAGTAAAAGCCTATGTATCCTATAGGACATTCACTCCTACTATGTTCCATTTAACTGGAGAATTAACCACTGAATGGTTGGGAAGCCCCACAAGACCTCTAAATCAAACTGAATGAAACTTTGTTTATTCACAGGCTAGGGAGTTCCTGCTACATCCTAAGACTGGAGGTGATCTCAGAGACACTATCCAGTGATTCCCAATAGGTCTGAACACACCTCTTCTCCTAAGTGAGTTACCTGGTTAAATGAACTGTTTCTGAAGAAAGAAGGACAACTTTTCATGGAGTGTATACTAGTGAGATTTTTTTAATACCATAATTGCCCAAGAGTAAGTAGCTTCTCCTTCCTTCTATTGGCTCTGGGTTTGCTTCCTGATTCATCTGTGATGCTGGGCTGCACCTCTCGAACAATGTAGATCTTCAGCCACCTTGGGGCTTGCATGCAACCAAATCCAGGGGGTATGGATAATTTTGGTAAACAAAATCAACTGAAGTCTTAATGAGTTGCTTAACAATTTTATTCCTACAAAACAGATGATGAGTTAACCACAGCAAAACATCATTTTTGGCCAGACCACACATTCACTGAATTTAATGTCATTTAATCTGCCCCTAGTGCCTGACAAGCACCATTCAAAGTGCTCTGTGATGCATCAATGACTAAACAGACCCAAAATGTCCTGCCTTTGTGAAGAAGGGACATAGAAAAATATACCTAACTATTTTGTCAATTGTATAGATGATGGAACTCCTTTGTTACAGTATCTAGCAAGCTTTGACATGCTTTTGAATTGTCAATACACTTCCCTAAAGTGGGTTTATGGTTCCAAGTGAACTAGCCAGTTTCTTAATTGTATTTACATAACAGTCGTATTTAAATACTATTTAGGATTACTAAATTGAGTGTTTCAACTAAATAAGGCCCTTTACCGCTCCTAGAAGAATGGATTAACAGAGAATAAAAAGGTGATGCTATTACACCATTTGCACTGGGATGATAGAAACTGCCCTCCAATTATAGCATGGCTGAGTGCTCTCTATCATGATCACATTGATGACATCATAGATGTGAGGCACATATCCATCAGGAAGTGTCAGAGAATCCAAGTTGAAAAAGATAGTATACTCTATCACACCATTTCTTCCATTTAAACTAGTAATGCAGACCTGTAGAGGCAAGTGATGAAATGATTATGTGAAAGCATCATGCACAATAACCTACTCTGCACATCTTCCCTCTGGCTGTATGTAACCTGCAGGCCACTCCATGCCCACCAGTGATTCCAAACTTGGCTGCCACATGGTGAACACCCAGAGTGCTTTGTAAACACATCTATGCCACACACTACCTCACACCTATTAAATCACAATCTGTGGGGCGGGAGCCTTGGTCTCCAGTGAGAAACTTGCTGTACATATTATGGTGTTAATAGCCTCCATAAGTCAATGCTGAGAGAGTGAAAGTTTGAATGAGAAAGGGATGTGGTGATAAGAAGACTATCATTTTTCCCTGTTCCTTCTGTCAAATTTTACGCTCATTATTTTCTCTGAAATTTGTTAAAATAGAATTTCCTTCTCAATTTCAGACTCCATCACTCAGATCATACTTTTTACTGATGAACTCTTAAACACCACAACCACTTCCATTCATTTTTCCCAACAATTGTCTAGCATACAAATTGTTTTTCTTACTGTTATTTTCAGAATATCCTAGTAACGTTTTCTTTTGTTTCTTTTTAAAGATTTATTTATGTATTTGAACGTCATAGTTACACACAGAGAGAAGGAGAGGTAGAGAGGTAGAGAGGTAGAGAGAGAGAGAGGTCTTCCATCCGCTGGTTCACTCCCCAGTTGGCTGCAATGGCCAGAGCTGTGCTGATCTGAAGCCAGGAGCCAGGAGCTTCTTCTGGGTTTCCCACATGGGTGCAGAGGCCCAAGGATCTGGGTCATCCTCTGCTGCTTTCCCAGTCACATTAGTAGGGAGCTGGATCAGAAGTGGAACAGACTGGACTAGAACCGGCGCCCATATGGGATGCCAGCACTGCAGGCGGAGGCTTTATTCGCTACACCACAGCACTCTCCCCGCTAGTAACATTTTCTAACCCTCAAAAAACTACATAATTTAGAACTTAAGTAATATGTGTTCTACATTATTTTCTAATTCCTAGTTCCAGGAATAGGAATTTAGCTAAGGTTGTTGAATTTGCTTGTGTCCCAGAGCCGATGCTGTGGCTCAGCAAGTTAAAGCCACTGCCTGAAGCACTGGCATCCCATATGGGCACCGGTTTGAGTCCCAGCTGCTCCACTTCCAATCCAGCTCTCTGCTAATGTGCCTGGGAAAGCAGCAGAGGATAACCCAAGTGCTTGGGCCACTGCACCCACGTGGGAGACCTGGAAGATACTCCTGTCTCCTGGCTTTGGCCTGGGATAGCCACAGTTGTTGCAACCATTTCGGGAGTGAACCAGCCTATGGAAGATTTCTCTGTATCTCTGTATCTCTGTCTCTCTCTCCAACTCTGCCTCTCAAGTGAAAAATAAATTTAAAAAAAGTCTGTCCCACATTGGAATGCCTGAGCTCCTGACTCAACTTCCTACCAATGCACACTCTGGGAAGTAAGGCAACAACTCAAGTAATTGAATTCCTACTACCCACATGAAAGATCTGGATTATATTCCCATTCCCTGGCTCAGGCCCTAGGCCAGTTACAGTCCAGACAAGACTCAGCCTCAGCTGTTACAGGCATTGGGGGAGTAAACTAGCAGATAGGATACTTCTCTCTCTTGGATGCTTTCACTCCTACTCTCTCTGCCTCTCAGATAAACTGAATTTTTAAAGTTTATCTCCTTTTAGATATATTGGCAGTTCAGTAGTAAGCCCCTCTTTGATAAGAAATGTACTTTCTCCTATCTTATATATTTCCCAGAACACCCAAGAGATTTTGGGGAACAAAAGTTATCATTACAGCCTGGTGTTGTGGTGCAGTGGATTAAGCTACTGCCTTGCCATTCCATATCAGAGCACTGGTAAGAGACCTGGCTGCTCTGCTTCCAATTCAGCTTCCTGCTAAGGCAAACCTCAGAAGGCAGTAGATGATGGCCCAAGAACTTGAGTTACTGCCATCCACGTGAGAGACCCAGATGGAAGTCCTGGCTACTGACTTCTGTCTGTCCCGATCTCAGCCATTTGTGGCCATTTGGGGAGTGAATCAGAAGATGGCAGATTCTCCCCCCACTCTCTTTCTCTGCCTTTCTCTCTCTCTCTCCCTCTCCCTCTCCCTTACCCCTTTCTCCCTATCTCCCTGTGTGTGTCTCCCCCCACCTCTGTCACTCTGACTTTCAAATAAATGAAATAAACCTTTAAAATTATCACTAAATGAAGGACTGGCAGAAATGAATATGAAATGAAATGAAATATGGAAACAAATTACCTCATCCACATGCTTATAATTCACAGGCTTTGCTGAGTGTGCCCTGATTTTGGAGGAGCCTGGTTGGATGGAATACTCAACTTCTAGCCAGTCACCTTTATAAGGCACAAAACCTACAAGAGCCACAGAAAATTTTGAGTTACATTATCTCTTATAGAGGTCTTGTTAAATTCACAAGTTTTGTCTGTAAAATTGCTAAAATGCTTATATTTAATATAAAGTACATTTTATATGTGTTTAAATGGACACATGTAAATCTTTCCATTGGAAAAGAAGATTATCGTGCGGAAGACATTGACTCTCCTGTACTGACAATTTTATTTGAGCAGATTTATTAAACAATTGGTTGCAGTCACAGCTCCTTCTAGAGAAGAAGTCAAGAATATAGGTAAGAGCATAAATGTGAACCCACTGCCTCCATTCAAATACTGATACTGGCACTTAGTTTGCAAACTTATCAAGTTGCTAAATCTGTGTCTCATATTCTTTGTAAATGAAATGAGAAGTACAACAGTAGTCTTCATGACATAGATGTGCTATAACTATTATTCAATATGTGTGAAACTCACAGAATAAAGCCAGGTAGATAGTATTCACCAAATAAATTTTGACTCCTATTAAGATCAGTAACACCAGCAAATATTGCTACTGTAAGAATGAATCAATTTCTCCTAGGTATTTTGGTCAGCTGATGAACTCTTAAATACATATATTACATTTGACCTTTATAAACAAAGAGTTTCAAATACAATTTTACAGTGTGTTAAAAGTGAGTCAGAAGATTCAAACATATCAGGGCAGGAATCCAAAGCAACTGGAAATCTCAAACAATGCAGGTGGGAGTGTAAATTGGCACAACCACTCTATTAATCGGATAATGTGTACAAAGTCAAACATTTGTTTACCCTATGATCCAGCACTGTAGAATGACAGAAGATGCCTTTTCTCTGTCTTTCATTTCTCTCTTTCTCTTTCCACACACATACACATGTGTGTTTCTATGTATACATACATGTATTTATATATATATATATACAGTATGGAGAGTGAATTCTCTGGTTCCTTGCAGGAGAAAGGAGAGTAGTATGAGAAACAAACTCTCCCAGCTTTTGAGGTCTCAAGCTCAGTCCACTGAAAATGGTTGAGAAACTTCTACCTGAGATGTATTGATTCTATTAAGAGCAGAGCAAAAGATGAGGGCTATCACTATCAGACATATGGTGGGAACCACTGTGCAATCCCCTGAGGATCTCAATAAGCCCTCAGAATTGTAGTTACCAGAACGTAGGCAGTGTGGGGGAGAAAACAAGAGTTATTGGTCCAAGAATACAAACCTTCAGTTATAAAATGAATTAATATTGGAGACACAAGGTAACTCTAGTAAATAGTGACATGCTGTATAATTCAAATTTGCTGAGACAGTAGATCTCATGTCTTTCTCACCACAAAAAATAAAATGGTAACTATGGGAGAAGGTGGATATATTAATCAATTTGATTGTGGTAATTATTTCACAATAGTTAAAAATATCAAAAAATCAGGTTGTTTACACTAAATATACAATATTTTTTCAATCATACAGCAATAAAACTGAGAAGAAAAGACATATTAAATTAATTACCCCTTCCTTCAAACTGAAGGTCCAATCCAGTAGCCAACACTTTCATCTCAAACATCAGCTTATATCAAATATCAAATGCTTCCTCCAAGCCTGTGCTTCTATCACTTCCTCCAACTCCCCATAACCTGTGCAGTGTCTTCCTAACCACTTTCCTAAATCCATCCTTTTCCCACATAATCTTTTCTCAACAAAACAAAGTGAATGTCTTAAAACAAAGCTCAAGTGGGAATCCTATTTTGACATTTTTGTACCTGAGGCACTTGATAGCTGTGTTAGGCTCACAAAGCACCCACAAAATATAGTGTTGGTTAGAGCCCAACTCTTAGAACATAGCTGCCAGTTACCCATGGAATTCACCAATTGGGGGCTGGCATTGTGGCATAGTGGGTTAAGCTACCACCTGCAATGCCGGCATCCCATATAGATGCTAATTCAAGCCCCACTTGCTCCACTTCTGATCCAGCTCTCTGCTAATGTGCATAGGAAAGCAGAAGATGGCCCATGTTCCTGGGCTCTTCCATCACATGGGAGACATGGCAGAAGTTCCTGGCTCCTGGCTTTGGCCTGGACCAACCCAGGCTGTTATAGCCATTTGGAAAGTGAACCAGTGGGTGGGTGGAAGATCTCTCTCTTTCTGTCTCTAAATTTCTTTCTGTCTCCCCCCCTCTGTAACTCTGTCTTTAAAATAAATAAATAAATTTTTAAAAATTAATTAATTAATTAATTAAGGAGTTTACCATAAAAACGATTCAACAGCGGGTATCTGATACACACACACCCTAAGTCACAAAATTACCCCTAAACTTCCCTTTTGAACTATCTGTTTTGGTTGAAAATATTATCTTCTATAACTGTGGGATTTTTTTATTGATTAGTAATTAAATACTTATATGAATCAAAGACACATGTAAACATTACTGACTGCATTCACACATAACAATTGATATCAGGAACTATTATAAATACCACCTAATTGTCCTCCTATCATATATTATTTTCATATCCAAGGGTCCTCCTCAATTTTTTAGGAGCCACAGACTACAACCAAGCATGTGCTACAATTTGTTCTAGTGTTAAAATCCTTAAAAAAATAAATATTGCATTATTCTAAAAATGGAACTCTTACCTTCAGAAACAATGTCTAGGGAGCAGTAAGTTTTTTTATTAACACAGAAACCATTTTTCTTTACAGAGGTGACACAGGCAATTAAAACTCTAATTCTGGGAGGTAACAGTCCAGAGCCAATTAAATTACCAGAGATTGCATCCACCTGTGATAAAAAGAAACAATTACTTCAAATATAACAAACATTTAAGACTAATAGCTTAGATGTGGAAAGATCATTCTTTAAGACATATTTTAGACAATCATCCTCAACAGTAGTGAATATATATAACATGCCAAATAGATCACAGATACGAGACGGTGCTAAAAATAATACCATTGATTATATAGTCAAAATGCATCCAAAATGTTAATTGCATGCTGCAGTGTAATGTATTCATAGAGGTAGATTAAATTATGGCAAGTACCCTGTCCATGCCCTCTATGAGTTCACAATTTAAAGGGGGGAAGGTAAAAGGGAAAAGTAACTAGTTCTAAGCAAATTCTGATAGGAGATATTAAAAAGTTTAAAAATTGGTTGAACTCTTTAATTAACACACAATTAATCTTAGGTGTTTAAATTTAACTGAAAAGTGATCCCTGTTCAATATAAGAGTGGGAATAAGAGAGAGAAGAGATAAACAGTTCGGCATATGCTCACTCAGACTTACCCCTAATGGTAGAGTTATAAATGTGCCAGGGGATTCCAATTCAATCCCATCAAGGTGGCATATACCAATGCCATCTCACTAGTCAAAGTGATCAGTTTCAGTTCATAATTGATCATAATGATAGGATTAAGAGTCAAAGGGATCACATAAACAATATCTAGTGTCTGCAAATACTAACTGATATAATTGAAAAGAGAGAACAATCCAACATGGGAAGTGGGATACACAGCAGACTCATAGAATGGCAGATGTCCTAAACAGCACTCTGGCTTCAGAATCAGCCCTTAAGGCATTCGAATCTGGCTAAAAAGCCCATGAGAATTTCGCCACGCATGGAAAGGCCCCAGGAGACTCCTGCCAACAATATACAAGACAAAAAATCGGGAACAGCAAAAGGACAAACGCAAAAAAAAAAAAAAAACCTAAATGAAAGATCTTTGTGAGTGAGATCCCAGCAGAAAGAAGGGGCCATCAAAGAAGGAGGTACCTTTCTCTGAAGGGAGGAGAGAACTTCCACTTTGAATATGGCCTTGTCTAATTAAGATCGGTGTTGGCGAACTCAAGAGGCTTCCATAACCTTGGCAGCTCATGGCAAGAGCCTCAGGTGATTACTGATGTCATAAATAATAGTGTGAATTGTTAAATCAACAACAGGAGTCACTGTGCACCTGCTCCCCATGTAGGACCTCTGCCCTTAATGTGTTGTACTATGAGAATTAATGGTAAAACTACTACTCAAACAGTTCTCTATACTTTGTGTGTCTTTGTGGGTGCAAACTGTTGAAATCTTTACTTAGTATATACTAAGTTGATCTTCTGTATATAAAGATAATTGAAAACGAATCATGATGAAGAATGGGATGGAAGAGGGAGTGGGAGATGGGATGGTTGCGGGTGGGAAGAAGGTTATGGGGGGAGAAGCTGCTATAATTCAAAAGTTGTACTTCGAAATTTATATATTAAATAAAAGTTCAAAAGAAAAAAAAATTGGTTTCAAGGATTCTCCAGAGGGAAAGTTTCAGAATTGGAAGAAACAGAGGCATTTCTTGGAGGAAGTGAAATTTGAGCTGGGTTGTGAAAAAAGAGAAAGATTTTAGCTGATAAATGGGGATGGGGCAGGAGCAGAGAAACAAAGATGAAAGAAGCACAAGACAGAGGAACAGGGAGGAAAAGCATAACATTCAAGGTACAGAACACAGAATCACAAGATGAACTCATAAAACTAATCTCAAATAGAGACTAGATCTAAATAACGAAGTCAAATTGGGGCTTAATATATCTATGAGTGTATCCTAGAGAGACGTACAAATACCTTTGTTTTTTGGACATACAATATACTTTATCTAATTTTTTGAGATTTAAAAGCAAGATTTACTAGAGTCAAAGACCTTCAGCCAGAGTGGCCAGGAGTAGGGCTCTAAGAGAGGCAAAACCTGAAGGGGCTGGTGGTCCGGGGGTTTTTAAGCACAATTTTGGGGAAGAAAAAAACTTGACAATCAGTTATAAGGTGGAGACAAAACCCATCAAACTTATCTAAAATTTTTAATCACAAAAATATATGTTAACTATGCAAGAAGAGGAAAAAACAAATAAGGACAAAACAGAACATGATTCCTCATAATCCATAATTCCATTAGCTAGAGACAATCTTTGGCTACCTTTTGGTATTTACCTTACTCCAGATGTTGCTTTTTGCCTGTGTACAAACATGTGTGCCTTATTCTAAAAGCAGAATTTAATACTGTGTATAATATTAAAATACACATACTAGTCACAAAAATTCTTATAAAACAACAGATTATTGAAAGGGAAAAATGGTATCCCAAAGAGTGAGGATTTCCATAACTTCTTGGCCTAATTCCACATTTTTCGATATTTACTTTGTATCCTAACTGAAGTTCCTATGTGCCTGATATATTTCTGCAGGATAAACCTATAGGGACAGAATTCTTTTTTTTTTTTAACTTTTATTTAATGAATATAAATTTCCAAAGTACAGCTTATGGATTACAATGGCTTGCCCCCCATAACGTCCCTCCCACCCGCAACCCTCCCCTTTCCCTCTCCCTCTCCCCTTCCATTCACATCAAGATTCATTTTCGATGCTCTTTATATACAGAACATCAGCTTAGCATACATTAAGTAAAGATTTCAACAGTTTGCTCCCACACAGAAACATAAAGTGAAAAATACTGTTTGAGTACTAGTTATAGCATTAAATCTCAATGTACAGCACACTAAGGACAAAGATCCTACATGAGGAGTAAGTGCACAGTGACTCCTGTTGTTGACTTAACAAATTGACACTCTTGTTTATGGCCTCAGTAATCACCCTAGGCTCTTGTCAGGAGCTGCCAAGGCTATGGAAGCCCCCTGAGTTCACTGACTCTGATAATTTTTAGACAAGGCCATGGTCAAAGTGGAAGTTCTCTCCTCCCTTCAGAGAAAGGTACCTCCTTCTTTGATGACCTGTTCTTTCCACTGGGATCTCACTCGCAGAGATCTTTCATTTAGGTTTTTTTTTTCCCCAGAGTGTCTTGGCTTTCCATGCCTGAAATACTCTCATGGGCTTTTCAGCCGGATCTGCATGCCTTAAGGGCTGATTCTGAGGCCAGAGTGCTGTTTAGGACTTCTGCCATTCTATGGGTCTGCTGTGTATCTCACTTCCCATGTTGGATCATTCTCTCCCTTTTTTATTCTATCAGCTAGTATTTGCAGACACTATTCTTGTTTATGTGATCCCTTTGGTTCTTAGTCCTATCATTATGATCAATTGTGAACAGAAATTGATCACTGGGACTAGTGAGATGGCATTGGTATGTGCCACCTTGATGGGATTGAATTGGAATCCCCTGGTATGTTTCTAACTCTACCGTTTGAGGTAAGTCAGCCTGAGCATGAGGGACAGAATTCTTATTCAAGGTTTCTGATAAAAATGTGCCATTGAGTTGCAAATTATTTTCCATGTTGTTAAAAATTGTTTGGATCATTGCTTTTCCTGTATATCAACTAATATATTTCTGGCTGTCAATAGGAATCTCATGATTATCCCCCTCCCCCTTCCTTCTCATGTAAGGAGAAAGCACCAGGCTCACCTCTGTCCATCCACCAGCACTACTCTCAGTAACCAAGTGGGTGATCCCTAGCACACTCTGACCTCTACCTGACTCCACACTAAGTTCACACCCACCCTGCAGACTGAACCTGCCCCCAAGTCTCTATCAAAACACCTCCCCTTGAACACCACTACACTGTACAGAGTGCAGAGAGATTGAAAGCCTTGAAAGGATGAACTGTACAATAGAAGGATATTTCAATACTGCAAGGGCCAAAAGGCTTATCAATTTGGTGGGAAGGGACAACTATGCATTCATTAGCAGAACAAATTATGGTCCTTCTCTCAGTCTGCACACTTCAATCCATTCGAGGGCCACTAAAAAATTCGATGTAAAGAAATAAGTATTTTCATAGGAAAAGCCAAGTGAATATTTGTGTGAAATGTGAATTGGAATAACTCTAATGCTACATGGAATAACTCTAATGCTACATGGACAAGACAGAGATATTCACAGAATAGAAAAATTGAACACCATAAAACAAAGTGAAAAAAAAAACCTGAAAAACCTTCATATATTCATTTGAAAACTGCAAAACCTTCATATATTAATTTTCAAAGCTTTAGTTTTCCTGACACAAATAGCTATAATATTGCTGATAGATACTTCTAAGAAAATAAATTTTCTGTGGTATCATTAACACTTCAAGAAATTCCAAAAAAATTAAAAGATTGTTTCACCCTTCTACAATTGGCAAATATTTCACGTTGATCATATTCCATCTTTCTGATACTGACAAACTGGCAGTCTCACAGCCCACTGCTCACAGTGTCAATTAATACAATGTAGATGGGGCCGGCACTGTATCATAGCTGGTAAAGCTGCTGCCTGCAGCACCTGCATGCCATATGGGCACCTGTTCCAGTCTTGGCTGCTCCACTTCCAATCCAGCTCTCTGTTATGGCCTGGGAAAGCAGCATAAGATGGCCCAAGTGCTTGGGCCCCTACACCCACATGGGAGACCCAGATAAAGCTCCTGGCTTTAACTTCTCTTTCTCTCTCTGCGTCTGCCTCTCCTTCTTTGTGGTTCTTATTTTTAAATGAATAAATAAATCTTAGAAAAAAATAAGATACTCTTCCTGCATGAGTGTGGCCAAGAAACAGGATTAGAGGTATTTTATACAGATAAAATAAAAAATAAACTAAAAAGACAATATAGGTAATGAGTGATTTGACAATACCCATTGGAACTTTAAATATCTGGACAGTAGTGATGGTTACATGACTCAAACCCTTCTTTTAAAAGGTTTATTTATTTATTTGAAAGGTATAGTTACAGAGGAAGTAGGAGAAAGGGAAGGAGTAAGAATGGGAAGGGAAAAGGGAGAAGGGGGGAGGAGGGGGATGGGTGGGGAAGAAGAGGAGGGAAGGGGAGAAGAGGAGGGGAAGGGGAGGGGGAAGAGAAGAAAAGGAGGGGAGAAAGCTTGGAGGGAGAGTAGAAATCAATCTTCCATCCTCCAGTTCACTTTCCAAATGGTCATAATGGCTGGGGACAGTTCAGGACATAGCCAGGAGTCTGGAATTCCATCTAGGTCTGCCACATGGGTGCAGGGGCCCAAGCACTTGAGCCATCTTCTACTGCTTTCCCAGGTGCATTAGCAGGAAGCTGGATCTGAAGTTGAGCAGCCAGGACTCAAACAGGTGCTCTTATGGGAAGCCTGCTTTACAGACAGCAGCTTAACACACGGTGCCACAACACCAGCTCTATGACTCCAGATTTTTGAAAACTCACCGAGTTTTACTCTTAAAATGGAGTTTATGATATATGTTACATCTCAATAAAGCTGTTTTTGACAAGTTTAAAATTTACATATTTTGAGATAGTAATTTTATTTCTGTAAAATACATACTACATGAAATCATTTTTGGGGACCAGCGCTGTGGTGTAAGTGGGCTAAAGCCTCCACCTGCAGCACCAACTTCCTATAAAGGTGCTGGCTCGAGTCCCAGCTGCTCTTCTTCCAACCAGCTCTCTGTTATGGCCTGGGAACACAGTGGAAGATGGCCCAAGTCCTTGGGCCCTTGCACCTGCATGGGAGACCTGGAAGAAGCTCTGGACTCCTGGCTTTGTAGTCTCCCAGCTCCTGCCATTGTGACCATTTGGGGAGTGAACCAGTGGATGGAAGACCCCTCTCTCTGTCTGTAACTCAACTCTCAAATAAATAAATAAAATCTTTAAAAAACACTTATGGAAAAGTAATAACATATATTTTTAAAAGAAAATGATTTTTCTATATAATAAGGGGAAGATATAGGATGGTGTTGAGTACTATAATTATCATTGTTAACCATATTGCTTAAATGTTAGAAGAATAAACAATTTTCTTATTTTTCAAAAACAGAAATCACTACAAATATTAGAACAGAAAATCCTGCAGCTTCATAGGATCAGGGCTTCAAATTCTTCTCCACATCCATTGTAAAGCCACATTAGAGAAGTTGGTTTTATAGACAAAAAAAAAAAAAAAAAAAACGATTGGAATCTTGCCAGGATGAGAGATTGTCCCCAAACTCATCCAAATCTTACATTGATGGCTTTCAATCTACGAGATATTTCATCTTCTTCAACAACAGCAGCAACCTTCTGTCCAACTCTCAGAGGCACATTGCCAGTCACATCAGTACTGAAATGGATGGACTCATTAATCAAGCCACAATCACCACAGAGACTGGTCACAGATCCCTGGACAGTATTCAATCTGGTGTCACCTATGGGGTAGGTAAAGAACTGGTTATACTGATTAATTTCAAAAGCAAATACCCACTACATTAAAAGTCCTGCCAGGGGAAAATAAGATAAACAATCACCTACTTCCAGAAACAGAATAAACTGGCTTGAGATACAGATGACAGAGATAGTAAAGAATAATGATTACCTTGCAGGATTCTGGAAACAGAGTGCCCAGCTTCCAAGGCTGGCTTCACTATTTCTCTCTACAGAACAGTGTCCTCACCACACAGGTAGTAGAAGGCCATAATTAAGAGCACTGAACCACAAAGTAGACTGACAAGGTTTCAATCACTGACCATCCTTGTAACCTGGAACGCATTTCTTAAACCACCTGTTTTCATCTGCCAGCATGAGGCCAGATGTAGATAATTTCTGCCTACTTTCTGTTGTGAACATTAACTGACACATAAAAATCTACTGCTTAGAACTGTGTGTATTTTATACAGGTTACAGTGTCAATGTTGTTAGCATACCTGCATGTGCAAAGTCTTGAAATGACTGCTATGATTATACAACTTCATGTTCATCAATATAATGTGTAGTGGCATTTGGAAATTCTTGAACATATCACCAAGATATTGGGCATCTAAGTCTACCTCAAAAGGGCAGCTGAGTCAAGTGGAGTCTGTTTATTTGTTGTAAACAAGCAAAGCTGGTACATAATGTTTTGTTTGGAATCTGACCCCAGGCACTCTGCCTGCATAATCTGACCTGTGAAACGTAATGCCTCAGCTGCCTACCTAGAAAATGTGGTGACTTGACAGAATGGCTTGGGAAAAATCTTGATAAGAATAGATTATGAAAACATACAGAAGCAAACAAAAAAAGAAACCAAGAAAATTTTAAAAAATCAACGACAAGAAAAACAGGTTAAATTTGTTTGCTATACCACAAAAACAAAAAGGAAGGCTGGAGGAGACAACTGCCCCTCAGGCATAGGAAAATTTGTCAGACTCTATCATGCGTCCCTGTTGGCAAAAATACAGCTAATAAAAGGCACTGAAGTGAGAGATTTACATTAAAAGGTAGGAAAAATGGTGCTTTCTGACAAACTTTGCTAAGAATATGCCACCTTTGCTGGGAGTTCCAACTCTGATAGCAGAGAAGCGACAGGGACATGCCAGCACCAGAAAGGCAGGCTCCTGCAGAGATAATACTGCTGACGCAAGAGAAGTCTCTTTCATATCACCCTCCTGAAGGCATGCGAATTTTCTCTTGTGTATGGCAGTGCCTTCACAGGTGGGAGACTATTGGTAGCAAATGGCTGAGGGACCAGAATGTTGGTATGAATCTTCTGGGCCACAGGATAGCTGCATGCCCCCTCATAGCTGACCCACCATAAAATCGACATGGTAATGCTAGGACTTCTGTCACTGGAGTTTTTGTATTCATGATCTGCCTGCCCCAGTTGCCTTTGCCCAGTGCAGGGCACACCCAAGTACTTGGCTCAAACAGAATAAATGCAATTCAGAATAGGGATGCGATCTGAACCCCCCCACCCCGCAACCTTCTCACATCTAACTGGACTCCTCCCAACAAAATTCACACCTTCACAATTCTTCTCTGAGTGCCCACTTGATGCTGGACTTTGGGATACTCTGGATACAAAGTGAGCAAAGTAAATGTGTCTCCTGCCTTCCTAGGGGACCAGATACATGACTTGTCCATTTGGCTCCAAATACTCACCTATGAGAGACACAATACTCACAATTGAGGGAGTTTCACTTCTGGAAAAAGAGAAAGGCAGAAGACGGAGGGAAAGGCAGGAGACAGAGGGAAAGGCAGGAGCGCTGCACCCTAGGGCTTTCTGTGTCAGCCTGTTTCCACTTTGGAGGAAGAGACTGGAGCCTTGAGTGCTGGCCAGCATAGCTGCCGTCCATCTGGGACACCCCAGATACACACACACACACACACACACGCACACGCACACGCACAGTATGGAGCCGCCCCTGCACGTGCCCACTCCCTCATCTGTGCTCCTGGAGCAGGTTTGAGAGAGCCATCACGGGGAGGTTTCTTGGGAGGGAATCATGGGGCACACAGAGAGGTACCTTGCAGGGACCCTGGCTGCCCCTGGGTGGGTTCCTGGCTCTTGCGATGGAAGCAGATTACTACACGTCTCAGAATCTTGAGCATGGTCTCGTCTTCAGCACGGACCTGGGCACTACACGAAGCTGACGGACTACCACGAAGCCTCCTCCCTCCCTTGGATCACAGTAGCCTCAGGAATGTGCCTCCAACTTTTCTCCCCCAGCCTCTGAGAACTAGAACCCAAATTCTAGTAATAGTCCCTCTGGAGAGCCAGGTATGCCAATACAGACACCCGAGGAACTTTCTAGTACTCCTGCTCCCATCACTCAGTGCGAGCTTTTGTGGGATTGGACTCTGCTGCCGTACAGCCAATGGGAGTGAAGCGACCAGTTACTGGGCCTCTGGGGCCAATAGGAAACAGTGAGTGGGAACACCGTGGCTCCTCCCATCCACAACGAAGGCGCCGTTAAAAAAGGTCTCAGGGATACGGCCTGTGCCTTAATATCCACCAAATCCCACCCCCTGACCCCCGTGTAGGCAGTGAGAGCTCCAGCCAGCCACCATTTCTATACCCGTATGCAGGGTGTGTGTGTGTGTGTGTGTGTGTTTTGAGATCCCGTGTTTATGTAATGTTTTAAGGATGCCAAGTCTCTGTCTTTTATCCTATTTCTCCGTCAATAAATCATCATAACATTATTTGATAACCATTGCCACCATTTATTTAACCTTGCCATATCATTCCAGCCAATGACTCGTCCCATGTTGCGCCTTAGCATTTATTCCTTCAATAGATACTTGTTTGGTACTGACGCTGAAGCACGTAACAGAATTTGTGTTTGGAATTAATCAGTAAATACAAAAGAAACAATATTGGCCCTGTGGAGGTAATTTCCTTGAGAGGAGAAATAGGGAGAGAATAAAACTAAACAGGAATAAATACAGAACATATGGAAGGTGACAAATTCTGCGGAAAAAATACATCAGGACAAGGCGTGACAAAATGCAGGGGAAGGAGTTGGGGCATTTCACAATAGAGAGGTTAGGGTCACCTCACTAAAAACCACATTTATGGCCAGCGCTGCGGCTCACTAGGCTAATCCTCCGCCTTGCGGCACCGGCACACCGGGTTCTAGTCCCGGTCGGGGCGCCGGATTCTGTCCCGGTTGCCCCTCTTCCAGGCCAGCCCTCTGCTGTGGCCAGGGAGTGCAGTGGAGGATGGCCCAAGTGCTTGGGCCCTGCACCCCATGGGAGACCAGGAGAAGCACCTGGCTCCTGCCATTGGATCAGCGCGGTGCACCGGTCGTGGCAGCCTTTGGAGGGTGAACCAACGGCAAAGGAAGACCTTTCTCTCTGTCTCTCTCACTGTCCACTCTGCCTGTCAAAAAAAAAAAAAGAAAAGAAAAAAGAAAAGAAAGAAACCACATTTATCAAAGTTTTGAAACAGGTGATGTGATGGCTTGCGTCTATATGGGGAGGAGGTCTGTGGACAGACAACAGGATCGGGAGACAAGAGTGCCTGGTGGGCTCAAGGAACAGCTAAATGAGGTAAGAGAATTAGAGTCACACAACAATTCTTTCCCCTTCTCTAGTTTCATTGAGGTATAGTTGGCAAAAATGTCATATATACTCAAATACACAACTTAATGTTTTGATAGATGCATGCATTATGAAATAATCACAACAGTAAGCTAATTAAAATATCCATCACTTCACATAGTTATCATTCACCTTTCTGCAGGGTTTGAGAACCCTTAAGAACAATCTTCTTTGAAAATTTCAGGGATACAATTTTTTTTTAACTATAGTCACATTGCTGTACAATTATTCACCACACAGAATATTTTTCAAATATTTATTTATTTACTTATGTATTTATTTGAAAAGGGGAGAGAGAGAGAGAGAGAGAGAGAGAGAGATCTTGATTTTCCATCTACTGGTTCACTCCCTAAATGCTTCCAACAGCCACATCTGGATCAGGATAAAGCCAGGAGCCACAAACTGCATCAAGGACTTCCACATTTGTGGCAGGAATCCAAGCACTTGGGGCCATCATTTGTTGCCTCCAAGGGGCATTAACAGGAAACTGAATAAGAATCATGAAGTATCCAGGACTCAAACCGGCACTCTGATATGGGATGTCGGTGTCTCAAGCAATGGCTTAACCTGCTGTGCCACAACACCTGCACACATAACTGAACTTTGCTCTAACATCTCCATATTTCTCTTCCACCATAACAACCATTATTGTACAATCTAGTTCTGTAATTTCAACTATTTTTAAAGATTTATTTTTTATTTGAAAGTCAGAGCTATGGAGAGAGATACAGAGACAGAAACAGAAACAGAAAGACAGAGAGAAACTTCCACCTGCTGGTGGAATACAGTAGCCAGGGCTGGGCCAGGCCAAAGCCAGGAGCTTCTTCCAGGTCTCCCACATGGATGCAGGGGCCCAAGCACTTCAACCATCTTCCTTTGCTTTCTCAGGCACATTACCAGGGAGGTGGATCAGAAGTGGAGCAGACAGGACTTTAACCCATGCCCATATGGAATGCTGGCATTGCAGGTGGCAGCTTAACCCACTATACCACAATGCCAGCTCCTGTAATTTTGGATATTTTCTATTCCTCATATAGGAGTTGTTAGAAGTGAACCAGTGGTGTGTTTTCTCTTTTTAAAAAGATTTTATTTATTGAGAAGCAGAGTTACAGACAGTGAGAAGAAGAGACAGAGAGAAAGGTCTTCCTTCCATTGGTTCACTCCCCAAATAGCCACAATGGCCGGAGCTGTGCCGATCTGAAGCCAGGAGCCAGGAGCCTCTTCCTGGTCTCCCACGCAGGTGCAGGAGCCTAAGGACTTGGGCCATCTACCACTGCTTTCCCAGGACATAGCAGAGAGCTGGATTGGAAGAGGGACAGCCGAGACTAGAACCTCCACCCATATGGGATGCTGGTGCCGCAGGCAGAGGATAATCCTACTGCGCCACGGCGCTGGCCCAAGTAGTGTATTTTCATAAGAATTTAGCCTAAGTACAATCGTGATGCCAGGGTCTAGTCCCCATCTGCAAAGGAAGTTAAGTTAAACAAAACAAAACAAAGCTGATGAGCTCACTTATTGAAGCTGAGTGGAATAGATTCATGTCTTTACACAAAACACAATTCAGACATGAGACAGAGAAGGGTGGTGGGCAGAGTGACAAGGTTTAAAGGATAGGCATTCATAGAACAGATGGACTGCTCTCTAGACAGGATCTGAGAGAGCGCCCCTAGTTTACCTTTACACTGGGGTTTCTAAGGGAATGGGGTCCAGTTCTTCCTGTCACTTCTCCTTCCTTGATCCTTCTTCTGGACAATAGGATGTGCTGAGTGTGAATTATGTAAAATTCCTCCCAAGGTTTTAGTATGAAGTGTTATCAGACTGAGCAGTCCACCTGGTGCCTGGCAGATGTGATCCCTTTGGAGGAAGGCTAGAACCACCTGCAGAGCTACTGGGGTATGGGCAGAACTTTGTAGTGTAAAATACTGTGCTGCTTGTATGGCTGTTACCTTCCTTTTTTTATTTATGGGCCCTCACTTGTGTACACATAGGCTAATTTCTAACTTCCTAACAGTTTAAACTATGTAACCACATTGTTATCTCCCTCTCCCCTATCCTACCTGCCCAGCAACATCCAATACTTCATTGCCTCCTTCACTTGCATTATCATGTTTAGATTGTACCTGCTGATGTTGCTCAAACTTGCAGAAGGGAACTTTGCACTACAGGCATAAAAGGAAATAAATTTCTGAGAGTAACACCTGCTCCCACCATCTGATCACCACTCTTGAGATAAGGTATCAGTAAACGCCTCACTTTCTGCTTCCTTCATGTTTCTGAGTCTATCTTTTTGTGGTTAGGTGTTCTCAGGTGGGCTTATTTCTCACAGATGTAATCATGCAGTATTTGTCTTTCTGTTCCTCACTTATTTCACTTTGCTTAATGACTTCAAGATTCATCCATATTGTAGGAAGTGGCAGGATTTCTTTCTTTTTAAAGGTTGAATAATATTCCATTGTGTGTGTCATATTTTTGTTATCTATTCATCTGTCAGTGGATATTTAGATTATTTCCACATGTTGACCATTATGAAAAATACTACAATGAATGTGGGGGTGCAGATATCTCTTCAGGCTACTGATTTCATTTCCTTTATATATATTTAATATATAATATTTTTAAATATATAATATAGTTTAATATATAAATATATATTTCTGTATCTATATGCAGAAATGATATTGCTGGATCATAAAGTAGTTCTACTTTTTAGAAACCCCCAATCTACTTTCCATAATGGCTAAGTTAATTTATGTTCTCAAAACAATGTACAATGTTCCCTTTTTTCACAAGATACCTAGCACTTGTTATGTCTTCACAGCTTGGTAATAGCTATTCTAAAGGGTATGAAGTGATAGAACACTGTAGTTTTGATGTATATTTCCCTGATGATTAGTTATGTTGAGCAACTTTTCACATACCTATTGGCCATTTGTATGTCTTCTTTTGAGGAATATCTATTCTAGTCCTTTGCTTACTTTTTAACCTGATTGTATGTATTCTTTCTTTATTTTTAATATTAATCTCTCATTAGTTGTGTAACTTAAAATATTTTCTCTCATCCCATAGACTGCCTTTTCATTCTATGTATTGTTTTCTTTGCTGTGCAGAAGCTTTATAGTTTGATGCAGTCCCACTTACCCAGTTTAACTTTTATAGCCTATGCTTTTGGAGTCATATCAAAAAATCATTGCCCACACCCTCCCCCCAAAAGAAAAAAATCCCAGGACTTTCCTATTTTATTTTCTTTCAGTATTTGTACAGTTTCAGATTTTACATTTGTCTTTAATCTTTTTTCAGTTGACTTTTGTATATAGTGTTAGGTAAGAATTCAATGTCATTCTTCTGCATGTGAATATTCAATTTTCTTAACACCATTTATTGAAGGAACCACCCTTTCCCCATTGTGTATTCTTGGTACCATTGTTGAAGAACAGTTGACTTGAAATGTGTGGATTTATTTCTGAACTCTGTTCTGTTCCTTTGGTCTATATGCCTAGATTTGTTTTTAAAGATCTATTCATTTCTTTGACAGAGTTACAGAAAGAGAAGGAGAGGGAAAGAACAGGCAGAGGAAGAGGGAGAGGGGGAGAGAGAGAGAGAGAGAGAGAGAGAGAGAGAGATGTTCCATCTACTGGTTCACTCCCCAAATTGCTGCAATAGCCAGGGCTGGGTCAGTTGGAAGACAGGAACCAGGAGCTTCATCCAGGTCTTCCACATGGGTGCAAGGGCCCAAGCCTTTAGGCTATCCTCCATTGCTTTCCCCTGCACATTAGCAGGGAGCTAGATCCTAAGTGAGACTATGTAGGGTTGGGTACACATCGGGGAGGAGTTCATGTGTGTGACAGCCAATGTCCCCACAAGACCAGGGTGTCCATGTCCAAGGAGAAGTTCCCAGAGTCAGAGCTGAGCACTCCATCCAAGGCCAGTGCCATGGAGTATGCTTCTGGGTGGGGGAGGGGGATAGTGAATGCAGGGCCATGAGGCAGTCAAGAAGTCTTTGCTGTTCTGCACCAAGCAGGCAGGTGGGGAGCATAACCACATGGGCTCTGGATGACCCCATCATGCATTAGATACCTCTGTTGAGCCACCCCAAAGGGGACAGAACTGAGAGAATGAGTGCATGCACACTGACAAGATGAAGCTTCTTCTGTGTGCTTGAATCTCCCAGGGACAGGGCACGGGTTGTAAGACATTTAATGAAAGGCTGGAAGGAACTTGCATCTGTGGAAGAGGTCCAATTCTGAAACAAAAATGTATGTCAGCAAGTGTTTTTTTTTTTTTTAAATATTGACTCAAAGCCAAGACCTACTAAAAGGTACATTCAGTAGAGTTTTGTGTCTATTCAAACTAGCCAGCTAAAGTAGTATGTCTGTTAGCGGTGCTTAGAGCAACGCCAATACACAGGTTAACACTTGCCCCTGTTGCCCAAATTAAGATCCAGTCACACATGAGGAATAAAGTCTGGCGTTATGGCACTATGGGTTAACTCTGTGCCTGCAATGCTGGCATCCTGTATCAGAAGCCAGTTAGAGTCCCAGCTGCTCTACTTCTGCTCCAGCTCTCTGCTAATTAATGTGACTGGGAATGTGGTGGAAGATGGCCCAAGTAGTTGGGTCCCTACCACCCACATGGGAAACCCAGATGCTGCTCCTGGCTCCTGGCTTTGGCCTGGCCCTGCTCTGGCTGTTGTCTTTTCCAAGAAGTCTTTGCCTGCGCCTATATATTACAGGGTTTCTCCGATGTTATCTAATAACTTGATGGTGTTAGGTCGTAGATTTAGATCTTTAATCAGTGTTGGGTGGATTTTTGTGTAAGGTGTAAGGTAGGGGTCTTGCTTCATGCTTCTGCATGTGGAAATCCAGTTTTCCCAGCACCATTGGTTGAATAGACTGTCCTTGCTCCAGGGATTGGTTTTAGCTCCTTGGTCAAATATAAGTTGGTTGTAGATGTTTGGATTGATTTCTGGTGTTTCTATTCTATTCCATTTGTCTAGCCCTCTGTTTTTGTACCAGTCCCAGGCTGTGTTGATTATAACTGCCCTGTAGTATGTGTTGAAATCTGGTATTGTGATGCCTCCAGCTTTGTTTTTGCTATATAAGATTGCTTTAGCTATTCGAGGTCTCCTGTGTGACTGTCTCTTCTTGAGAAAGGCCCTAATCACACCCTCCCAAAGACCTCCAGATGTAGTTAACAAGCGTAACCCACAGATGTCGCTGTTTCCATTAGTGTAGGCCAGACTTCAGCTGGAAGTTCACCAAAGGCTTTGACATTTGCCTTCTGTTAACAAATAAATCAGGAGGATGAGAAATATAACTGTTCAGAAGTTATATGAGGAGCAAGATCTTAATCAATTATGTGCTACACCACTGCAGTGATTCAGTGTTAAGTTGGAATCCCAGCTTTTCAGGTTATGAACTGTGTGACTTTGCTCAGGTCTCTTATACTCTCTGGGCTTTACTTTTTACATTTTCTTTTTTAAAAAAAGATTTATTTTATTTACTGGAAAGATGGAGTTACAAAGAGAGGTAGAGCCAGAGAGAGACAGAGAGAGAGAGAGGTCTTCTATCTGCTGGTTCACTCCCCAGATGACCACAATGGCCAGAGCTGAGCTGATATGAAGCCAGGAGCCAGGAGCTTCTTCCAGGTCTCCCACGTGGGTTCAGGAACCCAAGGACGTGGGCCATCCTTCACTGCTTTTCCAGGCCACAGCAGAGAGCTGGATCAGAAGTGGAGCAGCCGAGACACGAAGTGGCGCCCATATGGGATGCTGGCAGTGCCGGCTGGGGTTTTTAATCCGCTGTGCCACAGTGCCGGCTCCACTTTTTACATTTTCAAAATGATGGTTAATTCATTAAATAAATAGAGTTCTTTGAGAAGGCAATGAAAAAACCACGTGAAAAAATAGGCATTTAACACAGTGCCTGACCCGAGGAAGCAGCCAGGAAATGATTATTTCTTAGCTGTTAGTTTCATTCACAGCTATTCCTACTGAGTCCCAGGAACATCTGAGAGGCAGCACCATGGCAGGGCTGCAGAGCACTTGTTTGAGTAGTAAATAGAGCAGTTCTACTACTTAAGAAGGGGTTGTGGGAACATTGTGTACCCTCTCTGATTTTCAGACTCATGGCTGATGAATTATAAAGTTTGGTACCCAACCTGCTGGTGGCTGCGGAGAAGGATGTGGCCAAGGTGTGAAAGTACAACATACAAGGGATTCTATTCATCAGCATTTTGTCTGGTTTTTGAAAGTACAGCCTTGTTCTGATGTTGATGATTGCGCTTGCTTAAATCATCAGTGAGTCTTCCTGGAAGCCCATAGCTCCCTCTGCTGGTCTGAGCTCTGCCAGAAACCTCTGGAGGCCTTATGTGTCTTTGGCTTCCCACACCCACTGGAACAAGCGCCTGGGTGCTGTCTCTCCTCATATAGATCCCAGATTTGGCAAGTTCTAAGAGCCAGGTAAGGACTGATTGTTCCTTCCACGTCAGAGAATATAAACAGATCATGACCTGTCAGTAGTGTTCTCATTTGCATTACAGCCCCAATACTTCTAGTAGGATCATCTTTAAGGACCTGGAAAGACAGCGTCAAAATGGTAAACCTGGGGAGGCTGGGTAGCTGCTCTTCAACTAAAAAGGGTACCTAGAAGTTTTTCCAACCTAACATTAGGTGAGCAAGCCTCAGTCTTGTTCCTCCCTAAACAGTCAAGCCTCGACAAGTGTGGTTACTGCACACTTGTACATTGCTACAGTAGCATCCTTAGAGATTGTAACAGCAAATGTAAATAAACACTTTGTACTTTAGATGAGAACCTCAGGGTATATTTTTATTGTGGTAAAGTATATATAAAAGTTACCATTTGGATCACTTTAATTGAGGGCAAGAAGTACATTCACAATTTTGGGCAGCCATTACTAGTTCCAGAATATTTCCATCCTCCTCTAAAGGAACCCTGTACCCATTAAGCAGCTACTTCCCCTTCCCCTCTCATCTCTGGAAACTACTAATTTATTTTATATCTCTATAGAGTTCCCCATTCTGGATAGTTTACAAAAATGGAGCCAGGGGCTGGCATTGTGGTGTAGCTGGGTAAGCCAGCACCTATGACACCAACATCCCAGTTCAAACCTCAGCTGCTCCACTTCTGATCCAGCTCCCTGCTAATGTGCCTGGAAAAGCAGTGGAACATGGCCCAAGTGCTTGGGACCCTCACACTGATGTAGGAGAAGCTCCTGGATCCTGGCTTCCATTTGGCCCAGCCCTAGCCATTGCAGCCATTTGGGGAGTGAACTGATGGATGGAAGATATCTTTCCTTCCATTTTTCTCCCTCTCCCTCTCATTCCTTGTAACTCTGCCTTTCAAATAAATAAATAAATAATCAATCTTTTTAAAAATGGAGAAATTTAATATGTACTGTTTTGTGTCTGGCTTCTTAGGATAATGTTTTTAAGGATCATCAATGTTTTAGTATATATCAGCCTCCACTCCTTTTATGGAAGAATAATATTTCCTTGTATAGATATACCACATTTTCAATATCAATTCATCTGTTGATGGACCCTTGTGTTGTTTTTACCTTTTGGCTGTAGTGAATAGTGTGTCCATGAATACTCACATGCAAAGTTTTGCTTAACACCTATTTCCAATTCTTTTGGGTCTGTACGTAGGAGTGGAAGTGCTGAAGAACATAATTCTATGTTTGAGGAACTAACAAATAGTTTTCCATGGCAGCTGCACATTTCATATCTCCACCAGAGCTATACGAGGGTTCATAGTTTTCAAAACATGGGGGAATTTGTATTAAGAGCGTAAGAAATTCACAGCAATCTGGGTCTGAGATTCTTTGTCTCTCATCCCTGGTGCTCCAATTCCATGCTGTTCTTCAGGGCATGTATACTGGCACTGCAATGAACCAAAGTTGAAAGGCTTACTTAAAATCATAGCCAGTTTCATAATGTGCTCAATGTACCCGTTAGTACTGAACATGCTGGAGTAACAGAACTGTGGCCTGGCTCCTTGCACCATCAGCGCAGAGGCCTGCATCTCTATTTCTTTTTTTTAAAAAAAAAGATTTATTCTTATTTCTTTAAAAGTCAGAGTTACACAGGGAGAGGAGAGACAGAGAGGTCTTCCATCTGCTGGTTCACTCCTCAGATGGCTGCAACAGCTGGAGCTGTGCTGATCCGAAGCCAGGAGCTTCTTATGGGTCTCCCGTGCAGGTGCAGGGGCCCAAGAACTTGGACCATCTTTTACTGCTCTCCCAGGCCACAGCAGAGAGCTGGATCGGAAGTGGAGCAGCCGGGACTTGAACCAGCTCCCATATGGGATGCTGGCACTGCAGGCCAGGGCTTTAAGCTGCTGTGCCACAGCGTCTGCCCCCTACTTCTCTACTTCTTTCCTTGGAACCTTAACATAGCTGCAGCTGCCTCCTGAGCAGTCTTCCTAAGGGAACTTAAAGGCAAATCTACTAACCATATCTGCCTGTGGCAAAGGATAACACACATGGCAAGCTGATGAAACAAAAGCCTGGGAAGCCAGAGTTAAGGGAAGAAGATACAAGGGGGTAATGAGAGCTTCATAAAGCCCTCAAGTATACGAGGACTGCAGAAGGTCATGTACTCACTCAGGGATGGATTGACATTCAGAGACGACCTGAGGAGACCCTGAACTTTCACCGATGACTGACCTTCAAGCTCTGTACAAGCAGATGGTGCAGAATAAGACGGGGCTGGGCCGGTGTCATGGCACAACAGGTAAAGTCATCACCTGCAAATCTGGCATCCCATATGGGCACTGGTTCAAGTCCCAGCTGCTCCACTTAGGGTCAATCTCTATGCCAAGCAGTGGAAGGTGGCCCAAGTGCTTGGGCTCCTGCATCCACGTGGGAAACCCAGTTGAAACTCCTCGTTCCTGGCTTCAGCCTGGCCCAGGCC